TTTTATTTTAAAACTTTATCTGTACATTTAAATTATATGCAAAAAGTTTCAAATTTCTACAAGAACGAGTTTGGTTACGAGAGTTCGAACAGCCGACCACAAAAATACTTCACTAGATGGTACTTTCATAGACCATAACGCGTATTTCAATGTCACGACAAAATAAACGGGGAGTCTGCGTGACCCCTACAAATATCATATTAGGATAAGGAGGATCAGTATCTGTGCATGCATTTTTTGTTTCTCCGTTAACTTAGAACTTACTGCCAAATTGATTGGAATCTCATATATCGTAAGGAGAAGATATACCGAAATAAAAGCACGATACTGTTTCTCTCTGATCATTTATTATGGTATTTAACATTTTAACTTTGAAAAATTTGGAAATTAAGCAGATAAATCATACACATATGTATGTTCGAATATTGCTTATTGAAAAAAGATTTACTGTTACCATAAGATATCATCAAAAATTCCATCGCTGTGCTTAAAGTCCATAAAAAAATATATTTTGCAGTGGCGTAGTTATGTGCAGATGGTTGAGCCTACTCATATAAAGCTTGTGATTCGTGTACTGAAGTTTGTTGTTACTCATACGCTTACGTTAGACTACATTTATTTAAAAAAATTAAGTTAAATTATGATTAAAGTTATTTAGGCATACGTATATATTTAGATATGTATATATCAAACAGTGGTAAACATAGTTAGTGTTTTTTTTTTTTTTTTTTTTTTTTTTTTTTTTTTTCTTCCGCTGTGCTTTTATTTATAAAGACTGCTATGGAACTTACTTGTCTTGAGGGGGTGGGTGACGTATTCGAGCCACTAGAATTACCACCCGAAGACCGTCTGGAAATTGTAGCAGCCATATTTCAAAAAGCCTCTTTAACAGAATATTTCTTACGCTTCTTACGCTTTGTTTTTTTTTTTTATTTATTTATTTGTTTTTTTTTTTTTTTGTAACTAAACTTCGTCCAAAACTCACGTATATAAGTTATATGCAGTTTCGTGCATGTCTCAATCACCGCTTGCACACAACAGCGCAGCTCACATGCACGTGCCCATATAATCAAACACAAAATATGAAACTCTTATGTGACTTTACAGACATGAATTGTTTTTTTTTATGCATATGTGTGCGTATAATAAACGAAGTTAAAACGAAGAAATGTGAGGTTAAGTTATTTTTCTGTTTCTTAACTTATTTCTGTTACCACGCGCATTAAAATAATATAAATAACAACAAACTTTGCAAGAAAAAAAAAAAAAATGTTCTTTTTTTTAAAACAAATAATCGAAAATTCTTTCTTTTTTGTGTTTACGGTTGTAAGTTAATTAATTATCAATCCTTCCCGCTCTTAGAGGCTGACGTCTTCACATTTGATATTACTGTTGTTCAATTTTCTCTGTTCATTATATGCGGATGTATTTGTGTAAGTGTTATTAAGTCTTTTATTTCCCAGTGGTTGTGTAGTAAATCGCCGAAACATCATGCACAGGTACATGCATAACGGTGTATTGAGATATTTTGATATATTATGTTTATTATTATTTTATATTCAATTTGCATCGGATATATTTGAGTTGGGAGACGAATACCTTTGACTAGCACTGTACGCTTTATTTTCACTCACCATCATCGTGTACACGACGTGTGGTTAATATTATTTGGTTGTTAATATTTCTTCTCTCAATAATTATTGTTGCTGTCTTGCTTGCTATTTTATCTCGCTATTCCATACAGTTTGTCTATTTTATTTAGTAATGGCTACGTGTGTTTTTTTTTTTTTGTTTTTTGTTTTTTGCTTTTTTCTTCGTATGTGCTTATGAGCTGAGTAACACTTTAATACTAATACTATACTCGTCACACGTTTACGAGTGCCATATGAAATAAGAACGCTTCGTTATTTGTATGAGTGTGGTGAGCAGCGAGTAGTAATGTGTTGTGTGTGCTGTTTGCTTAGTCTCTGCTGTTGATGTGGTCGTTTTCGTTGTTCATATTATAATACATGTGCGTGTCTGCTTAAATATTATCGTTGTTGTTTTTGTTGCTATCGTTACACTAACAACAACATGAAACGCCATATACAATAGAGTTTAAAGCAACACATTATGTCGTGTGTAGGCAGATAGTAGATATACAAAGGCAAATATTATACCACATATACAAAAGAAATACCATAAGGTATCGTCAATATGAACAACCGCACTTTGCATATTGTACAAGTGTGCATGTATTTAAAGTAGCTCTGCCGCATACCATGCCTATCAGTTTTACACGGCCATCCGCAGTCAGTTAGCCTATACAACTAACTTGGAGACTTACTTACTAACTTACACATTACGCAAACACATACACACACACACACACACACACACACACACACACACACACACACACACACACACACACACACGCAAGCAAGCATGCATGCATACGCGCACATACATGCATGCATACATACATACATACATACATACATACATACATACATACATA